AAAAACAAAATCCCTTGGGTAGCTGTCATGTGAGCTCTTAGATTTCTGAGTTAAAGGAGAATAGAATTAGTCTAAACCAGCCTGCTCTAATTCTTACCCTGGCTTAGAGCCCAGATCTTTGTGCTGCAGGGCAGCGGCCAGGGACCGGCTGCTGTTCACCGCTCCGGCCACGTGTGTAAAATACCCCGCCGTCCACGTGCGGGCGACGTCACCGGGCTTTATGGCCTCAGCGCAGTCCTGAGCCAACTGAATTATTCGCGCAACTCCCCCATCTCCCTCCAGGGATGCGCCGTGAAAACCCTACACATTTTCTCATTACCGTCATTACCATCACTTGATGAGGAAAATAAATGTCTGCTCACATACATGAACAGAACAGTAGGAGCCGGATGGAGATAATATCAGGATTCAAAACGCCCAGGGCGTGGCTGAAAAAGGAGGCCCTCCTTTCCCAACACGATCTCCTGAATTAACAATTTAAAGAGCTGATTGGAAAAGTCCATAGATACTTGAGTTTGCCGCCCAGTACCAGTGTGGTGTCAACAACGCACTCTGATAAAGTTGGCATTTTGAAGGTTTGCTCACAAACACGCGTGTTCTTGCTTCTCCTCCTGCCTTCCACAGCAGTTCTGTGGTCAGGAAATTCAAGAAGAGTAACAGGGCAAGTTTCAGAAAAATACCCAGAATTCCTGATCCCTGGCTGCTGGCTTCAAGTTCAGCAGGCATTGGTTGAAGACATGTGAAAAAAATCACAAATATGTGGAAATTAAACACAAAACTCTTGAACAACCAGTGGGACAAGAAGAAATCACAAGGGAAATCAGAATATGTCTTCAAATTATAGAAAACGAAACACAATATCCAAAAATTTATGGTTTGCAGAGAAAGAAAAACAGAGATGAAAATTTATAATTGTAAATGTTTATGTTAAAAAAAGAAACACCTCAAGTCAACTAGCTAACTTTACACTTGATGGAACTAGGAAAAGAATAAACTAAACCCAAAGGTAGTAGAAAAAAGGAAACAATAAAGATTAGAGCAGAGATAAATAAATTTGAGAATAGAAAAACAGTAGAGAAAATCAACAAGCTGGTTCTTCAAAAACATCAACAAAATTGACAAACATTTAGCTAGATTTGACTAAGAAAAAAGATGACAAATAAGTAAAATCACAGAAAGAAAAAGGATTATGACAGTGCTATGAACAATAGTATGCCAAAAATTGAATTACCTAAAAGAAATGGGCAAATTCATAGAAACACACAACCTGTCAAGATTAAGTCATGAAGAAATAAAAAAGCTCTGTAGGCCTATACATAATAAAGAGAATGAATTAGTAAGCAAAATCTCCCAACAAAGAATAGCCCAGCGCCAGACATTTCTCTGGTGAATTCTACTAAATATTTACAGAAGAATTAACATGAATCCTTCTCAAACTCATTCAAGAAATTGAAGAGGAGGGATAACTTTCTAGTTTATTTTGAAAAGCCAGTGTTATGCTAACATCAGAGCCATAAACAGACATTAGAAGAAAAGAGAACTACAATAAAATTTAGGATTATTACTGAAAACATCCTCAAAAATACTAGCAAACTGAATTCAGGAGTATATTAAAAAGATTGTATGCCGTGACCAAGTGGGATTTATTCCTGGAATCAAGGATGGATTAACCTACAAATATAAATCAACTTAATAGACCACATTAAGAGAAGGAAGGGGGGAAAAACATGATCTTCTCAACTGTTGTTTCAAAAGTGTTTGAACAAATTCGACACCCTTTTGTGATATACTCAACAACTAGAATAGAAAGAAACTACCTCAACTTAATGAAGGCCATGTATTACCTTTATTACCATGAGATACTCCATGTAATACAATTGTGATATACTAAATTTTATACTATGAGCACAATTAATAAGTGACAGCTTTGATTAGAAGCAACTATAGTGTCAGGCATCTCAATGGAAAATTGTGAATTATAAAAATAGGAACACAACATGCCGGGATCTGTTAGGAATTCTGTATATATTTTCCCCTTACTTTACCCTCACGGCAACTCTACAAGGGAGGGACTATTATTATCCCCATTTGCAAATGAGGAAACTGAGGCTCAGATATGTTATCAGGTCGTTGTCAGCAACAGCTATTCTACAAGTAATCAGTAGGTGTGGGACGAATAACCTCCCTAATGCTATTATCCTTTCATTGTGTACATCCACTTAAAGGACTGTGACCTGTTGCCAACAAAGTGTGGAGGTTGTTTTGTTTTGTTTTGACTATAATCTTTTTATGCAAATCGTTTAGCTACTCTTTAGAATAATTTTAGGATATCAATCTAACAGTTAATTTTCCTTGGCTTCAAAACAAGTTTAACGATAATATGTATATGCTGCCATCTTGTGGTCATTTTCTAGAATTACCCTTCATGTGAATGAATTTTCTAAACCCTGAGATGAATGAAGTGACTAGAGAGAAAACCATGGTTCTACAGCTTTTAATAATTTCACACCAAAAGACATATTCCTATCAAACTATATGTACCTGTAGGGGTAGAACTGACAGAAAATACCCAATCAGGGCATAAGATCTTCTGGCAAAGGGAATACATATGCCCTCACTAGTAAAGAAATCTAGCTGTTATGACCAGGTTACCAAATGCTTAGAACAGTGACCCCTAATATAGGCAGTTGTCCATCTGCATATCTTGGATAATTTTATTACACATGCTTCCATTTACATCTGAAGAGAAATGAGTTTTTATTGCAGAACTTTTATTTTTTTTTATTTTTTTCCTTCTAGATCATTTATTGCAACTTTTTTTTTTTACATCTTTATTGGAGTATAATTGCTTTACAGTGGTGTGTTAGTTTCTGCTTTATATAGCAAAGTGAATCACTTATACATATACATGTGTTCCCATATCTCTTCCCTCTTGCGTCTCCCTCCCTCCCACCCTTCCTATCCCACCCCTCCAGGCGGTCACAAAGCACCGAGCTGATCTCCCTGTGCTATGCGGCTGCTTCCCACTAGCTATCTGCCTTACGTTTGGTAGTGTATATATGTCCATGCCTCTCTCTTGCTTTGTCACAGCTTACCCTTCCCCCTCCCCATATCCTCAAGTCCATTCTCTAGTAGGTCTGTGTCTTTATTCCTGTCTTACCCCTAGGTTCTTCATGACATTTTTTTTCTTAAATTCCATATATATGTGTTAGCATATGGTATTTGTCTTTCTCTTTCTGACTTACTTCACTCTGTATGACAGACTCTAGGTCTATCCACCTCATTACAAATAGCTCAATTTCGTTTCTTTTTATGGCTGAGTAATATTCCATTGTATATATGTGCCACATCTTCTTTATCATTCATCCGAGGATGGACACTTAGGTTGTTTCCATCTCCGGGCTATTGTAAATAGAGCTGCAATGAACATTTGGTACATGACTCTTTTTGAATTATGGTTTTCTCAGGGTATATGCCCAGTAGTGGGATTGCTGGGTCATATGGTATTTCTATTTGTAGTTTTTTAAGGAACCTCCATACTGTTCTCCATAGTGGCTGTACCAATTCACATTCCCACCAGCAGTGCAAGAGTGTTCCCTTTTCTCCACAGCCTCTCCAGCATTTACTGTTTCTAGATTTTTTGATGATGGCTGTTCTGACTGGTGTGAGATGATATCTCATTGTAGTTTTGATTTGCATTTCTCTAATGATTAATGATGTTGAGCATTCTTTCATGTGTTTGTTGGCAGTCTGTATATCTTCTTTGGAGAAATGTCTATTTAGGTCTTTTGCCCATTTTTAGATTGGGTTGTTTTTTTGTTATTGAGCTGCCTATAAATTTTGGAGATTAATCCTTTGTCCGTTGCTTCATTTGCAAATATTTTCTCCCATTCTGAGGGTTGTCTTTTAGTCTTGTTTATGGTTTCCTTTGCTGTGCAAAAGCTTTGAAGTGTCATTAGGTCCCATTTGTTTATTTTTGTTTTTATTTCCATTTCTCTGGGAGGTGGGTCAAAAAGGATCTTGTTGTGATTTATGTCATAGAGTGTTCTGCCTATATTGTAGAGCTTTTTAAATTGAGAATCAGGATGTATTACCTTTTCTTATGGCATCAAATCGAAGTCATTCAGTTTGTCTTTCCTTCAAGTTTCCCTGTAACCTGGATCCATTTTTGTGCCCATTTGCGCTCCACTACAAACCCAACAATCTAATCAGGTTTTTGCCCTCAACGATGCTCTCTACTACCTTTGTCTTACAGGTTTTCTGGACATCCATTAGTATATGTACACAGACACACACGCACACACACATCTATGTTTTTTTAAAAAACTGAAAGCAGCTTTATTTAGAGAGATACACATTCCATAGACAGAGTGTGGGCTGTCTCCACACACATCTGTTTTTAATAGAACAATGTATTTGGGTTCCTGAGTCCAGTCTTGACACTCCCCCTGATGGTGACCCTGGAACATACCATGAGATTTCAAGTCTAGGAGTAAGAATGCTGCTGTGTCCACAAACACTCCTGATAAGCTGTGGTCATTGGAGTGAGGTTGGGAAATATTCAAAAAGTTGCCCTCGTGAAAGATTAATAAACAGCAACCTCAATGAAGTAGAGTCAGGAGACCAAAAGGGGAAGCTCTCATACCCTGTGAGGATAGCAGAGCCCAACAGGAAGACGAAGGACTCTGCTTTCTTGGCAAGGACTCATCCAATGAAGAGCCATGGGCTCTTTGTTTACTACAGCCCTCCTCACTAGGCTTCTTTAATGTCCCAATTCGGTTTGAAATGAGGGAGACAATATCCTCCATATATGGATTACCCCTTGCATGTAATCAATGATGAATACATCTTTTGTTAAATTAAGCACTCACGCGGTTTTCTTGCCCTGCTTTACAAATGTGCATAGACATGGCAATGAAACAATGAGACGTTTAAATCATTTCCAGTTAACCAATGTTTACCTTTCAAGTAATGAGACTGGACTCTTTGTTTGCTTCGTGGATTGTTTTAATGGTTGATTTAAGGTAGAAGTAAAGTTAAGAAGTGAAGAATTATTCGTGCATGTAAATTGTACAGAAAAGACAAACATCAGGGCGGTTGGAGACCTGGGAAAGCAGGGGAAGGAGACAAACAGGGAAAGACCCTCCTTTAGCACAGGTTGCTGAATCAGTCATCCAATCCACTGAATCATGTCAACCTGAGAACGAGACATCACATGATTTAAATATGAGGCACGTGTTGAACTGCCACATATTTAAATCATATTTCATAGTTCAGTCATATTTCATCAATCATATTCACCCCAGGTTTAAGAAAGTTTAAAACAGTGTTACTTCACGATGTATCAGAACAGGAGTGAGGGGCACTGTCGTAAACATACTGATGCCCATATTTGATTAGTGAAAATTAAGATCTCTGGTGTAATTAAAACCACATGAAATGCAGGGGAAACTGCTGAAGCAAAGTAAGGTCAAAGGTATGATTCAACAGCACATTACAGCTGCAAATAACAAAGGCTATTTTATCTCAGTGGGACACAGGCAACTAGCTTTGCAGAGTCGTTGAACTGACAGGTGGCTGCAGGCAGGACCTTGTGTCTGGTGTCTTACAATTACTGTATCCATCGTAGTAGATGCAAGGGTTCGCTGAAAGGAAGAAGCAGGGTTACCCAATATTGACTCAAAAGCTCATCTCTCATTTTCTCATGCATTTATAGGTGAGTAGAGGGCTTAAGAGATATACGTATATTCTGTGTTATATAGTCAATATTCTTAAGTAATACTTTTTTTCTTTTCTACTCTCATTTCACTTCTATTGCATTTTTCAATTCCATTGTAGACATTGCTTTTGTCTCTTGGATAAAAAAAACCTACCCCATTCCCTGTAGCAAAGCTAATTAGTAGATATATGATCTGTCTCCAAGTACATTTATTTTCAGAAAAGAATTACTGAAAGTGATAGAATTTAAAAGCAAACAGAATGACCTGGTCAGGTGAAGGAAAATAAGTTTTTTGGTCTTACAAATCTGAAGGTAAAGGATATTTTTTTTGGGGGGGGAGGTTTGTTATTTCTCCACAAACTTATTGAAAATTATGATATAAACATATCCCTGTGGAGTAAGGAATTATGCCTGTAGGAAGCTCTATAGAAAGAAACTTTTGCTATCTAAGGAAATGAACATGTAATTGGAACTCATTTGGTTAATATTACATTTTAGGTAAGATTTACTTAGGAAATAAAAGGAAGTGCGGTAAACGGACAGTGTGATCATCAGCTAATATCTTCCAGTGTGTCAGTGGAAACTTCAAAGAATAAGGATCACTCAGTAAGAAATTGCCGGCCATGATAAGTGGTCAGGCAGGTTAGGGAGGTTATGACCAGCAAGTAATCTGAGAACGCCGGTAACCTGAAAGCAAGATGTCTAACTTCAGGGCTGCAATAAGAGAGCCAAGAAACTTTTTATAGAGCAGAGAAAAATTTATACTTATATTAACATGTTATCCGAGGTGCCCATATTAGGGTGGGAACTTTAAGCTTTAGGGTGGAACCTTGAGTTTAGACTTGGACATTCTAATTTCCAATCCAAAAGATTTAATCAGTGGTCTTCTGGGTCACTCTGGGGGTGGAGGAAGGGAAATCAGAGAACGTTGATTTTTCCTTTGGGATGATTGAAGAAAAAGTAATAGAAAAGTACAATATTGTTACATGCTTGATTTTAAGGATACATCGCTCCCAGATCAACAGTCAAGAGTAAGCACACTGAGATGTAAAACTTACTACAAAGTTTATCTTCACAGTTATTTGGACAGTCTCCGCATGGAGTTCCCTCATTATAAGGTACATTCTTTTTGTCAGGATCATTGCCCCTTAAAAAAGAATAAAGAAAAAAGGGCCTAATAAAATTGATGTTTGAAAAATGCATATAAAAATTTACTCACTATTGAAAATCAATTAAAATAATTTAAAACAATGAAACAATTTTTGAAAACCACTTGTAACCACTTGTACGTAATCTCTATGACATGTAAGATTTCTAGCCTTAGAATGAGAATAATTTATCTTTTTGAATATACCGCAGGCAACTCTGAGGTGCTAAGAATATTTTGAGACAATTTGCATCTCTTTGGACAGTCAAGTTCTAACAAGCAGGGGGCTTTAGAAACATTTATGATAGGACTCTTATCCTTATTTATACCCATAAGGACTTGATAAACATTTATGTAAAAGGGCATGGTTCTTAATAATGTAAGAAAATTTTTAAGTGAGTCAAATTGGAGATGTTCTAACTTCATCTTGCCCTATATCATGAGAATTTTGATACATGTCAGTGTCATTTGTAGAAACATGTGCACTATTATAAAAGATGAAAGTACAACAACGTGGAGAAAGCCAAAGTGTTGGAGTTTGGGGAGAGAGAATAAATGAGAATTTCCTGTTTTGAGCCAATTTAAAATTTCAGAGAAGACGGTCTTCCCTTAGATATCTAAGAAAACAATGGGGATTATGGCTGATTTTCACTTAAATCTCTTTTCCTTTTGGAGTAGAGGAAGGTTTATTGCAGGGCCAAGCAAGGAGAACGAGTGGCTTGTGTGTGCTCAAAAAACCCCAAACTCCTGATTTGCACTTAATATTGAATAAAAAATAAAGTAAATATTCTAGTTGAAACAACATTCTATCTGATATATTTCTCCTTGAATGAACTGTTAAAATTTGAATTTATAAAAGAAACATTACTTAATTCAGCAAGGGGTTTTGTCAGACTCTTGGCCTCATCTTTGGCTGAGAAAATTCTCGTTATTTCAGCCCCATGTATTCTACTTTTCTGTGTTGTCAGAAGTTTACTGCAGACCATGAGCTCCCATAAGGATTTAGTACAATTGATGCATTGTATATGCAAGGAGACCTTACTGTCTTTAGTACTAACCACACAGATAAAATCACAACAAATATTAAGTACTGAAATCAAGACATGATAAAACCAGAAGAGAGCCCACATAGAGCTATTGTATGAATATGTTACATCTATTGAATCTACAGGGACAGTGGAGACCTCATTTAAAGTGTCAATATGGTAACTTACTATGAGAGAAATCAATTTCATTGATTCATGTTGCATATCTTTTATTGTGCTACACACATGGGAACTGAGAGTTCAATAACTACCATACTTGGAGCTCATCTTATGGAGGAAAGACTGGTGTATTGAACAAGTAAGCACAGGCAGCTGAAGGAGACATATGCAGACCAACAACTTTCCTTAGCAGAAGAACATTTAAACTGGCATTTGTAGTAAACTAATGGAGGTTTATATGCAGCTCAGAACAATCCCTGCTTTCTGATAATCACCACTCAAGCCACACAAGTGGGTCCCTGTGGGTTCTTGCAGTTACCTTTTCTGAAGTTGACCTTGCTTCATAACCAGAGGTGACAAGACAAAGGAGTACAGCTGTCCCTAACCAGAGCAATCAGAGGATCTCTTCTTGGAATTGTTGCTCACACCTTTGGTAACATGTAAATTTAATTTCTAAAGGAAATACATATGTCAATACTAAAATGCTAAATACAAAAACACTTGGCTTTTTCATTTGTTCATTCTTGATACTCCACTGCATTTTTGCCCTTGCATTCTAAAAATACTCTTGCATTGTTAAAATAAATATCCTTTTTTTTTTTTTGCTTAAGCTAGATGAAATTTGTTTCTCTTAACTAATAGTACTTGAAGAAGGAATAACACATAGCCAGATGACTGGTAATAGTGCCTAATTTGAACATTATATTGAGATAAGGATTTATTTAGAAAAATATAAATAAAAATATCTGTGTGTGGGTGTAGTGTTTTAGGTGTTGGCTAAAAGACATTGTATCCCTAAAGTTCTTAACTGATAAGAAATATTTATTTGAGTTTTATTTTATAATGGTTGAGAAACTAAATTAGAGAAACTAGTAAGGGAAATATATTTCTAAAAGCTATGTGAAGCTAAGCTGTAAAATACATACTCGTGACAATAGTGACAAATGTAGAGATACTGAATTCCTTTATGACATGATGATATGCCGCAGCCAATAAGGTAAGAAGTGGCCCAAACAACCTGTAAAGATAAGGTTATTTTATTAACAATTTGGTAGTTTGCTAAATGATTACTCTCCGAATATTGTTATCCTTGATTGAAAATAAAGACACATGTTTTTAGGATGCTTTGAGCATGGCTTATTAGGAAGTCCTAGAAACAGGAGGATTCCCATGTGTCTAGATAACACACATACATATGCACACCCAGTTGCCATCGCTGACCCTGACTCATTCTCTTCTTCTTATCAAATCTATATGGAATAACCTGATGAAGGCTGCTTGGTGATCATATAAAAATCAAAGCATGGAAGGGACTTTACTTAATCATCAAAAAACTGGCATGGTGGAGAGTAACGAGTTGACCTTCGAGAAAAAATTGAGTCAGGTTCAAAGTCTGTCTCTACCACTTCCTGGTGGGATGGTATTTACCAGTTTGCTTTATGTCTTGAAATTTCATTTTCCTATTCCTCAAATGGAATATAATAATATTATCTTTTACATCATAGGTATTTGGTGGGGATTAGATAATAAACCTTTTAAGTGTTTGGAAGAGGAAATATTAAATTACTATTCCAAAGTAATAGAGCTCATGCTCCTTTGATGGAAATAGTGGGGCTAGTCTATTATCTAAAAGAAATGGAAAGTAGGAACTGACGTCACACATTTGTCATATTTTTAGCTCTCTGGGTAATTATTTTGGTTTTTATCCTCTGTCTGATAACGTAAATTATATAAATAAATCGTCTAATGCTATAATATTCTTGGGTTCCTGGCACATACTGCTTTTGTCCAAGGATATCAGTCTTAAAAGAAGAATGCTATTTGCTAATCTTTTAGCTAGAAATGTCTGCATTGCTATACATGAGTGATTTAAGTCTATGAGTTTTAAATGTACTATCTTCGTCAGCTTTTAACATTAATCTTAAGTGGGCTTTATTTTAAGTAAATTTTATTACAGATTTTGCAGTCACATCTGAGTCTTCTGCTTTGGGGACAACAGCTGTTTTTCCATTTTTGTATTTCTTGCACGTTCAATGTTTAAATCTATCCATTCTGGATGAGTTTTGTTAATTTATTTTGTACTGGAAAATAACTCACCTGATTTAGATATTCAAAGTCATTTTTGTAGAATTAATTTATTATCTACACTGAAGCCCAATGGTATTTTAAAAACATGAATCAGGTTAAATCATTCACCTGTTTAATGACTTCTACTGCATTTAAAATACAATGTAAAATTGATGATAGCTAATAAGGCTCCAGTGACAGAGTCCCACTTCCCTTCTGTGTTCATCTCCTTCCACTCTTGCATTTATCAAGTTTCAGCCTCCTTTTCCAACCCCTTCCCTAGTTTTTTCTCTGTCCTTGCACATACCCAGATCCCAGATACTGGTTTCCAAATATTATTTTCCACTAAAAGTAAACAAAAATCTTTAAAGGGTGTAAGTTTGCAAAAAATGGATAGAATGATTTTCCGTGGTTCTCATTCGCCTATTTTCCACGCATGCTTATAGTCACTTAACCAATGGGTATATTTGCCAGCACACAGTTTACCTGAGTGTAATGCTCAATCATCATGTCATCATCTGTCGAGGCCCATTCCCCATACTTGAAATATTTAGACTCACTGTACCAGATTCTGATTACGTTTGACCATGAGATAGGATAAGATGTCAGATGCATATTTTCTCCACAAAAATTATCTGAAAGGAGGAAAAAGGGCTAGGTCATACTCTACAAAATTTGGAAATACTTTATAAGCATACTTTTTGTACTTTTATTCTACAAATGTTTCACTGGGCATCCAAGCAATGTTTGATAAGAGGAAGCAAACTCAGCTCAATCTCTGCTAACAGTTTTCTTTCTCACTGATGAATAAACTTGTGGTGCTCAAGTTTGCTGAGAATTTGACAGTAGGGGATGATCTGCAAGCTTGGGAATCAGATCAACCAACATTTCAGTCTCTGCCATGTCCAAGCTGATGGAGAAGGGTGCAACCAATCAGAATAACCTATGCGTTGTAACCAGGCCCATGGCTTGAAAGCAGCCACACAGAGGTATTCATCACGCATAGACCTTGAGATAAATATGTGCTCATTTAACCTTCCATCCTCTTGTGACGTGGGCCTTGATCAAATATGATATTTGGGAGTAAACTGCCCTTGTCTGGAGCAGGGAAGACTCACATTGCTAATTCACAGCTCAACAACATTGGGTAAAGATGCCCAATAATCTGTAAATATAGCAGGGGGACTCACATTGCTAATTCACTGCTTAACAACATTGGGCAAAGATGCCCAGTGATCTGTAAATATGGAAGTTTCATTAATATTTAAAAATATTTATAATCAACAAGTATCCTATAAATGTTATTAATGTCTGCTTGTATAGGAGGTACTGATGGCTTTTCTGGAAACCAGCAGGGATCCACCTAATATACATGGCATGAGATGGACTCATTTTTGAGCACCTAAAATTGTTCTCATGGGCAGCTTAGTAGAGTTGGATATAACTCACTTCTCAACTGTATTAGTGTTCCAAAGCTAAGGATAGCCCCATGGTAATATTGTGAGAAGCTGAAATAAATAGAGTGGAAACCTTCTAGCTATACAGCTTTCCAGCTAGTCATCATCATATTACGGAATTCTTCTGTGATAGTGAGAGCTTTGATTCTTTTCTTTTGGTGAATCAGGAATTTGAAAATTTGAATTTCCAAATTCAAAAATTAATAATAATGAAACAGTGCAGTGGGCCACAATTCCTACCATTTATGGGGCAAATGTAAATACAGACTAGATGACTTAACTTACCCATACCAGGTTACTTAACAATTCCTGAGAACTTTTGAGCAGAAAGGTGTGTCATATACCTGCTTGTAATTCGCCTCTTAACTGCATTGCTCTCTACCAATTCACAATCTTTTGACAACATTCTGGCGTTTCTTGCAGCTTCTTCACTCCAATTCTACAGGTGAAATACAAGCACATGGCCTTATTAACATTTCCTTGATAAGATTCTAGTTTATTGTTTCTAAAAATCCAAGGCTAGCAATATCCTCAATTGTATTAGCTAACAATTTAAATCACAGCACCTCTCTTAAATATTTTGGTTGGAAGAGAAAGACAAATCTTTCAATCCATTGTTTTAGCCCTTGAATTTACAAAATCAAAATTTGGCAGTAACATTCAGTTGTAGCTTCTCTTTCAGAAATATTAAAGAATTTAAGTAAATGCTTCCAGTAAAACAGACCAGGGTTAGAAATCCATCCCATCATTTATTAGTAGTTTTACCTCTGACACATTATTTAATCTCTTTGAATCTCAGTTTTTTTTTCATCTGTAAAATATGCCCCACAATTCATACCCAATAGCTTGTTCAAAAGTTTTAATGTGATAATTTATGCAATACAACTGTGACATGATAAATCTTATGCTACATGCTCAATAAATATTTCTGTGATTAGAAACATGTATAGTATTACACATCTCCATCTAAATTATGAATAATAATAATAGCGAATCATAGCTAATACTTCATGCCAGGACCTCTTACCAATTCTATATGTATATTCTCTCATCTTTACTCATAGCAATTCTACAAGGGATGCACTGTTGTTATCCCCATCTGCAAATCAGGAAACTGAGGTGCGGAGATGTTGCATAATTTTTCAGGATAATACAACCAATAATGGCAAAAAGAGAATTGGAATCCAGGTTCTTCTGGCTCTGGCGTGTGTGCTCCTAACTTGTGATGTGTGTCAACTGTGCTAAGCTGAAGCATTTTGTTGGGTTTTTCTCCAAAGTTGATGAAAGGCAGAAAATCTACTAAAAAGAGACAAAGTTTGTATCTACAAATATGAGGTCTTTTGTGTAGAAAAGGATAACACATCTTTGTGATTTGAATGAGTCACAAATCAAAGGACACGGGACTGTGTCCACACCAGTTATGGGACTATGTGACGGATGTTCTCCCAGGCATTCTTTCATTCTCACATTATGCACATCCCCTTAAAAGACTGTCCCGATACCTGCATGCAACACATTATTACCAACAAAAGTTGTGGCCTTTCTTATTTACTACGGGCTTTCACATAAATCATTCAGCTACGCTTGAGAATAATTTTTGGATGATGCCCTAACTTAGGTTTTCAATATTTTTTCTGACATCGAAGAAGTTTCTCTCTTATATGCATAGGCTGCCATCTGTGTGAGTTTTACAGAATTACCCCTCAGGTTGATGAATTGGTTAAACTGTGAGGTTAATTAAGTAACTCATTAGCCTAGGGTCAAAGTAAAAATGTGGTTTTTTAGGGTTTGACTGTTTCATGCAAGAAAAGATATATTTCAGTGATGCATACATCTAATTGAAAAAGTAGAGATGACATAACACATCCCATTAGGGCATAGCACCTCCTGGCAGCGGGAATACCATCATTGGACTCACGAGCATAAAATCTTGCCTATTATGACCAGGTTACCAAATAAGTAGGACTGGAACTTATCTGGTTAATTTACTGCTGATTGCTAGTTGTGCATGCGTGATGCACTACCCATACCCAGATCGCTTTCTGAACTGAAGCACTTATTTCCTCTTAAGCTGAGAGTCCTGCCCTACTGTCTTCTCTAAAAATTATCCTCATTGGCGAGAATACTCACTTCCCTGTGGCAGCCCACATCTAACAGCAAGTAGCTGTAATAACTATAAGTGCCATGTAACCTCCCTCCAACGCAGCACAAGGTTGTACTGAGTTGTCCTAGTTGTACAGCTTCCCGTAGGGTTAGCTGAGGCCCCTGTTATGCCTACATCACGACCAAACTTCTTTGTATGCCCTATGTTGCTTCTCTCTCTCTATCCATGGTCGGTGTAAATCTGGAGATATTCCCCAATAAGCATCATGCATGCTAATCTCCATCTCAGTCTGTTATCTTATTGGGTAAACTACCTGCACCATTAATTGCAAACAGTCTGTAGTTCAGACCTCTTTGAGGAAGCTCTTTAGGATATTTCCTCTGATTAATGTTGCTAAGATGCTAACTTTTTTTGTGATACATCCGTGATTAAAATCAAAAGTAAGTATTCATGGTTATTGCAGCAAAGTTATGAATTCTGGCTTTAATCAATGGTTCTATTCACATAAAGTTCTAATCCCATGTGCAGAAACTTGTTTCATTTTTGGAAAATCTCTGCCTGGCAGTTGTGATTGGCTCTTCAGCTCTACTGTAATTCTATCAGTTCCTTTCTATCTGTGCCCTATGCATTATTTATGGAAAAACTCAACTCCCATATTCCCTTTAAAATGTTACTCAGTTTTACTGGTGCACTTACTTTATCATCTTGCTGATCCCTCATACCTTTGCACCTCAGCACTTGAATATATTCATTCTATATATTCAAACAATATGTTCTAACGTTTCCTCTGTATTCACCTTGAATCCACAATAATGAAGTCTCTGAAATCAGAGACTATATTTTCTGTTCACTCCGTAACTTCTTTACTACATCCCAGCTACACTTATTTGCTCCTCTGGAAACCAAGGATTTTGAATCCTGTTTGTCCTAAGGAAGGTAAAGAGTTAAGAGCAGGTGCCTGGAGCTGTGGCCATTTGTATTTGAATCTGTACTGATCCAGTACTTAGGACTTTGGATGCGCTACCGAATTTCTCTGAGGTTCAGATTCACTATCTGTGAAATAGAGATGATAGTATCATCTACATCACAAGATGACTGAGAGGATTAAATGAACTAATGCAATACGCTCCTAGAAGACTGCCTGCCCATCAGTAGTAAGCAGAATATGCATGTTAGCTACAGTACTCACAACGTAAGAGTGCCTGTGCTACTACTGGCTTTTATTGTTCTGGATTCTAAGATGACCAAGAGATAAATTTCAAAATCATTTTTTCTCATCACTAGCTTCCTTCCTCTTTGTCATTTGCATGAGGAAGCTGTCTCTTAGAATCACTTCCCATAGCCTGCATTATTTCTGACCCTTGTTACTCTAAGCCAGTCCAGGGCTAAAGAGCCAGGTTTACGATACCAAAAACCTGAGTGATACTTCCGGGATATAACATAGGTGAGGCTAATCACCTCATACACCTGAGTAGTCCCTAAATCTGTTCGTCTGACAGCACCTAGCCTGCTCATGCAGCAGGTTTATAGTGCAAAAACAATTTCTCTTTTCTCTTATGGGATGCCAGGAAACTGGGAAATAGATTTGCTAATACTTGTTCATCTGGCAGCACCACCTGGCTTAGAACCTGGACATCTTGATTCTCAGAGAGTGTCTTAGCCTCTGGGCTGCTGCTCAATGAAGACAGCTGTGAAATGCCTCTGTAATTTATTAAACAAAGTCTGCTACACGGACGATACTGACCGGCAGCGTCAGCATCATCTAGGAGCTTGGAGTGGTCCCCACCCCAGACCTCCTTAATCGGACCTCAGAGAGTGGGGCCCAGGGACCTGTGCCTTACCAAGTTCTTCAGCTGATTCTTAAGCACGCTCAAGTTTGACAAGCACTGTCTTAGGGTCCATTAAGAGTGAATTAGACTTTCTGCGTTGGAATTGTGGCTCTGTCATTTCCTAACTCTATGAGTTTGGGAAAACTACTTACCTTCTCTGTGCCTCTGTTTCTTCTGCTGCTGCATGATCGGTTTGTTTGTGAAGACCAAACTTTTAGTATATGGAAAGCAAATAGAACTTAATAAAATCTCAGTAAACACCGTTACTATTATTGGCATTGCTGTGGTTGCTGTTTAATTAATCTTACCATTTTTAGCATGTTGCTGGCTGGTGGAAATACTCCTCTCCTGAGGGTGTTATGTACAGTCACTATTTCTTCTTGGACAGTTGCCGGTTCCATAAGGAGTGTATCATATGGAACTTTAGGTGGTTTTGCCTGTTACCAGAAAATTATTAATTAGTCTTACTTCTTTTAAGTGGAATTTGCAGTGCATAGTATATTACTTGTAGACTTTGTGACATGAATTTATAATTGATGTTGAATGAATAGTGATCTACAGCATTTTGTAATCTACAACATCTCAGTATATTAGTCTCCATTTCTCCAGTGCTGGTTTTGAGGACTTCTAAACGTCAGCCTGACATTATACAAGTCTAGAGAACAGTGACTGTTCTGGTTGTGACTGGTTTTCTTCAGATTTAGGATTGGTATTTTGGACCATGTTGAAGCATTTTATTGGGCAATGTGCACCACAGTGGAAGATGTTTCGATAATATTACACCTTTTACTGACCGACTTCCCTTCCTTGGCACATTCTTCACCCCACCTAGAAGCCTTCTCTCTGCTTCCCAAATAAACACTTGCACTTGAATATTATTTAAAGGTATGTGTCTAGGAGAATCTAAAAGGTTCATTATTGAGTACAAAACCTCTAATATCTTCAACCCAGGTTCGGCATCTCTGTCTTATTCATATGAGAAAACATTGGTATTTGTATCAGTATGTATACATACAAAATAGAATTCAAAAACAATTTGTAATATGGAATTGACAATAACAGTTTTGTTTATTTTATTATTTGTTAAAAAAAACAAAATAGAATTCAAATCAACTACAGTCTAGAATTTGTGACCGTTCTTTTCATTTGTTTACCTTTTATCCTGTAACTCACTAAGAACAATGCATGGCCTTAATATTTTAGGTTAGCATTAGTTTTTATAAAGAACATCTTCTTTTGTGTGTGTGTGTGTGTGTGTGTGTGTGTGTGTGTGTGAGATATCATATCACATGCGTTTCATACTATTTTTTTTAAGTGACAATGCTTATGTAGTATAATTTGAGTGGTATCTATCTATTCCTCAACTACCACAAGACTATCAATACAGTTTCTGAATGGATGGGATTCAGCCATACCTTGCTCAAATACAGAAGTAGTTATTGTCATTTATTTTATATCAACAGTTTAAGGATATCGGGAGAAAACTATAAAATCAGTAGACTCCTCTAGAGACTGTCCCCTGTGGACATGATTTCCTCAAAAGCACACTCACGAGGTATTATTTTCCTGTCATACAGCAGGTAGCCTGGGCTAGATTTGAGGGAAGGTTGGGAACCCATGATCCCCTTACAAGTTTCAGATTATAATTCTCCTTGCTCCTCTAAAAAAACCCTGCTCCGGGCTTCCCTGGTGGCAGTGGTTGAGAGTCCGCCTGCCGATGCAGGGGACGCGGGTTCGTGTCCTGGTCCGGGAGGATCCCACATGCTGAGGAACGGCTGGGCCCGTGAGCCATGGCCGCTGGGCCTGCGTGTCCGGAGCCTGTGCTCCGCAACGGGAGAGGCCACAACAGTGAGAGGCCCGCATACCGCAACAAAACAAAACAACCCTGCTCCAGTGAAACTCATGGCAATTAGCTCTACCTACATCATTCCTGAACATTTACTCTCCTACAATGGTTTTCCTGTCAATTTCTCTCATTTATAGAAACGGGGTCTCCTAAAACAATTCATCTTGTCCACCCCAAATTCAGCATCCAGCATCCACCTGGATGACTCAACCATCTGATATCTCAGAACTTGAACTCTTCCTCTCTTAAACCTCTCCTCCAAGGCTTTTTAGTTCCCCACCGTGATGGTCACAGCCTATACCTGATGAGGACTCCAAAATGCCGCACCGCCAGCTTACTGGAGGATTGTGTACTGGGCAAGAGCTCCACCTGGTTTCTCTTTGGGAAAAAAGTGTGAGTGAAAAGATCCAACACAGCACCCCAGTAATCTAATATATGTGGATTTTCTTTCATTGATTGAATTAAGCGCCTTTGACTTTTGACTTCTCCTATTTAGCATATGAAAATAAACAAGGCACTCATGTTCTTTACCAAAACTATTAGCTTCAGCTCATCATAGAAATATTTTGGGTACATTAAAAAATGTAATATTTTCTTTATATCATTGAGATTATTTAGAGGTACTTAGTTGATGATCATAAAATATTAGGAATTTATATCTTATTAGATACCATTGAATGTTTGGTTTTTGCTGTGTGAATGTTGAAACGCTTGTTTTTAATAAGCAGTGAGTTTCAGGCCTCATATATTAACCCCGTTGCTAACAGTTCCTCACACTTCTCTCCTTGCTGCTGCACCTTTCATTTTATATTTGATTTGGATGTTATAGTCATAAGTCAGAGAGCTCAATTGGGATATTGATGAAATACTTAGCTTTTCTGGGTAAAAACTAAAAAATAATACCTTTTTCCCATTTTGTCTTGGAAAATGCATGGATCGGTTGTAAAGAAAGTAATTCCCGCCCTACATCTTTAGCTTTTTTGAATTATCCAGAGAGGCTATAATGACATAGGCACAGGCCCATGGAGCCGAACTGCTTGAATTTACCTTCAGGCTCTGTCACTTCCCAGTTATCTGACCTTGAACATATATGACTTAACCTCCTTATGTTTTGGTTTCTTTCTCTGTAATCTGAGATTATGAATAGTACTTGCCTAATAGGGCTATGGTGAGAACTAGATGAGTAATGGGCATAGGGTCCTTACAACAGTGCCTGTAACACACTGAGTTCCAGCAGAGGGGTAGCTCTTATCCTCTTCTCAAAAGTAATCATAAAACATACAATCCTCACATACTCTTGTAATCAAAACGTGCAGGAAGACGGCAGCAGCAGCCAATAATAAGAAGTGTTTCATTGTCATCCCTGGAAAGAAAAGTTACATAAATTTAGACTATTGCAAACTTGTGGGATAATGTTTTGTAATAAAGCCTTTTTTGGAAACACTTTTACCTATACCTGCAGCTTCTGCAAAAAGAGACCTGCAGGATCAGAGCAAGGTTGAATATGTTAGTCATTACGAACAAGAGAAGAAGAGAGAACTGTGATTGGAAGAATAATAGATTTAATGTCTTAATCCCTGTAACCTTTGAATGTGTTACATTGTGTGACAAAAAAGAATTAAGGTAGCAGGTAAAATTCAAATTGCTAGCCAGCTGACTTTAAAGTAGGGATATTGTCCTGGATTATACACATGAACTCAATGTCATCACAAGGGTACTTGGATGTGGAAGAGAGGGCCAGTGTCAATGATGGATTATGAGGAAGACTCAACTAGCCACGACTAACTCTGGAGATAGAGGAAGGGACCATGAGCTAGAGAATATGGGCAACCTCTGGAAGTAGGCAAAGACAAGGAAAAGGATTGTCCCCTGGGGTCTTCCTGCTGAATCTTGATTTTAGCTCAGTGAGCCCCATTTGGACTTCTGACCTCCAGACTATAAAATAGTAAATTTGTGTTGTTTGAAGATTCTGAGTTTATAGGAATTTGTTACAGTAGCAACAGGAAACTAACATAAAACAACAAGGTTCGATTTGAATTCTCTATTGCCTATAGCGAGGAGGTGTGACGTTGGTACAAGTGATGTATGTACATGATTTAGAGACATTCTGTAAAGTCTGATCACTCTGCTGAAAATGATTGTCATTGTGAGTGGAGCAAATCAGAGCTAATATACCCTCTCTTCTATTTCTATTTGATATAAGTTGCTGATGCTAGGATATTAATAAGCATATGTTATTAAATTTGTTTGGTACATTCTTTTTACGATCTGACAAATTTATTTCTGAATCAGTCCTGCTGAGTGGGAAGCAGAAGAGGCTAACAGTTTGGTTCGTATTTTAAAGAAGACTTTCAAAAAGCAGGTTAAGTGATTTGTGCAGAATAATACACGCAATGCGATTTGCCATTGCTCTCAAGCTCCTCCCACACACTGCCAAACATATTTGTATGAAAAGAATTCTGTAAATCAATTTTTTCAGAGAACATACACATACAATCTGTCCCTTATTGCACTTTTTTTTCCATCTTTTTCTTTCACTTCCTCTCTTCCTTCCTCCAAAATGTTACAAACCCTCAAACCCTAAGATAGTAATATAGTAACACAGATGATGAAATATGCAACCTATTCTCTTACTTAGTCCTCAAAAATCCAATAAAGCCAATAATTTTTTACCTGAGTTATTGAAGAAAAAATAGAATAAAAAAGCTTCTGAACTGGGCTTCCCTGGTGGCACAGTGGTTGAGAGTCCGCCTGCCGATGCAGGGGACATGGGTTCGTGCCCCGGTCCGGGAGGATCCCACATGCCGTGGAGCGGCTGGGCCCGTGAGCCATGGCCGCTGAGCCTGCGCGTCCGGAGCCTGTGCTCCGCAACGGGAGAGGCCACAGCAGTGAGAGGCCTGCATACCGCAAAAAAAAAGCTTCTGAGCTATAGTAGGTTGATATATACACACATATTAATATTTAGACCCCTTACACTATATCTCTATATCTCTGTATCTCTGTCTTTATTCAGTGAACTGTTATTATTCAAGTTAGTCCCCTTAATGAAGCTGTCTATAACTTCTGTTGCATTTTCTAAGGGAAAATTTTGGGGGGTGGTGTGTATGCTCGTTATCTTAATTGTTATGATGTTTTCTGGATATACACTAGCATGTACCTCAAAAAAGCTGTTATAAAATGTTTAAGAAATTCCAAAAATATTACCTGTTTCACACCAAACAACTGGCATTGACAATTTAGATTTTATCTTTCCAGTCTTTTTTCTTATGTGTAAATTCTGCACTTAGATTTATACATAAACACATAATATACCCCCAAATCGTATTCAGTAGCATTTCTATTGTTATTATATGTTCATTAAGAGCATCATTTTGATAAGGTGAATAAGTTGTAACTAACTTAAGATTTTGGCTAAGTTGGATTTTAAGCTTTAATATTTTTCTCAATAAGTAATGTTATCATAAATATTTTAACACAAACACCCAGCCATTTTTAGGATACTTTTCATAAATTACCATAGGATTTGTGCTTCAGGATTGGAAATTGATTGAAATCTTTGCACTTTTTTCTTTTGACATGATACAAAACTAATTTTACTTCTAAGTATACCTGATACATAATAAGTGTTTAATAAATATTTATTAAATAAATTAAATTTTATACAGTTGAAATAATAATTTAATAATTTAAATAATAATTGAATAATAATTTCAGACACACACACAATCTGCTAATCAATACATGTGGTATAATAAAAGTCATAGTGATCCTGGAGTTAAAATACTAATGTTTTATCCTAGGTTTTCCTATTATCTATGATACTGATAAATCCACAAGTTCTCTGAAAGTCAACTTATTTTTGCTTAGAATGAAATCCAACAAGATGGCATTCAAATTCATAGGACTACAAGACACAACCAACTCTTTAGAATTGGCTACTATTGTTCTTTTTAGAATGTTGCAATCTGCTCAATGGGCTTCCTAATCCAAATTTGAAAGCATATGTTACTTTATAAATGGATTATAATTCTGATAGATGGCCTTTGAAAGCATACAGTATCCCCCATATTACTGGAAATAGATAAAAACAACCTGGATATTTTACACAGAGATATAATATCTTTCTTCTGTCATAAATGGGTGAAAAATCATCATTTTGTGATATAAGATACATAAGGAATTAGATACAATACTGTGTATTGATGATTTAATGTCAGAATTTATGGGCCAAACTTATCGTGACCTCGTGAGAGTGTTCATGGGACAGTCAGTGTCACCTGGGATTCCAGTTACCTTAGCAACTTTGGCTCCTCCAAAGAACTTTGATCGGTTGAAGTTAAGGGCAACTAAGCCGCAGGGGACCTCAGATTTTTGAGCCTAAGTTTTGGCTTGGGGTCTATGAATAGGCAGAATGTGTGCATTTGACCTAAAACTCTTCAGAAATCAGAGGCTACGAGGAAAATAAGAGGATACCTTTACTTAAGGTTCAAATATCCACTTGGAGCAACTGAGCCAAAACAGAGAGGTAGAGGTTAATACCTGGGCATCAGTAGTATATTAAGCATTTTAGAATGAGATTGGATCCAAGTAGTTATAAAGGCATCCTTGTTGGCCCATAATTATTATAAAAGTACAGACTGGGCTCTGGGATCGTCTTCAGAGGTAGAGTCAAAGGGTCAGGTTAAAGGACTAGAAAGCAGCAGGCAATAGGCAGAGCTTTTGGCAAACAGTGACTCCAGCAGAAGTGACCAAGGTGCAGAAATAGAGATGAAAACTGGAGAGCGTGACTCCGAGGTTGAGTAGAGGTTATGGGGGTGGAAAAATAAGTGGCCCCAGGGTTAGAGACTCTGGGGACACACTGAGGCTTGTTTACTGGAGAATTAGAACAAGGGTAGCTTCAGGAACAGGACCAGGGCCAAACCTCCAGAATGATCTGAATGATTCTCCACTGCCTGGAGGACTCAAAACCTGGATACTAAGCAGGCCATTTTTAACTAAGGAATTCCAGTTGCTTGCACAGTACTCAGGTAAAGGCAGCTCTTCTGAACAGAAGTATTACAGAGCAGCTGAGATATCAGCTCACTGATGCTCCTTAACTTGAGCATCAATCCCTACTTAACACAGTTATCTAATAAGCAATAGGCAATTTTAAGCCCCAAATCAAACTATTTTCCAATAGTAATACCAGAAACTTGATACACTGACTATTAAAATTAATTTTCCCTACATTTCTGTTTCAGATTGTATGCCTTATTAACGTATAAACAGAACTTGGATATTTGTAACTTAATATTTGGTAGGAAGAAAGATCAAAAATGAGGGAAAAGACTAAGGAGAACTGAGTCCTGCCCTCTGGCATGCCCTTGGGAATGCATTCTCATATATGGATTAAATTGTTAGACCATGTCCTTCTCAGAAAGCACTTACAGGAAGAACAGTTCCTTCCTTCCCTTAATTAAAGAATTCAAAAGAATGAACTCTACAAGGATTAGATCATCAATCCTTTTTATCTTCTTTGCCTCAGTGAATTTGTAAATTTAAAAATAATTACTAAGGTATAACTTATATTTAGTAAAGTATGTAAATTTTAAGTGTACAGATGGATAAATTTGTAAATATGTATGTACCTGTGTAACCACCAAAGCAATATATATATATATAAAATAGTTCCACCACCCAAGAAGGTCTCTGGTTCCCCTTTCAGTCAGTAATTCCTAAGAGTAAAAATCCTTCTGATTTCCATAATTACGGCTTAGTTTAATCAGCTTTGAAACTTTACATAAGCAGAATATATATAGTTTAGTATCTAAACTTTTTCACTTAATATTATGCCTGTGAGATTCATCCATGTTGCTTTTAAAGAAGTTTACTTTTGCTAATAGCTGGGTAGTATGCAGATAATATAATTTATTTACCCAATCTATTATTAATGAACATTTGGTTTGTTTTCAGTTTAGAGCTATTACAAATAAAATTTCTATGGACACTTTTTCCATATGCCTTTTGATACATATTATTATTTACTTTTTTTGGACATATACCCAGAAGTAGAATTATTAGGTTATATGGTATACATATGTTTTCCTTCAGTAGGTACTGTCAAATATTTTTCCAATGGAGTTGTAGAAATATATACCTTTTTACTTCTACCAGCTTCATATCCTCACCCATACCTGGTATTCTTTTTTATTTTTTTTAAATTTTATCCATTATGTTTATGTAATGGAATTTCATCAGGTTTTTTAATTTGTATTCGTCTAATTACTAATGATATTGAACACACTTTTATATGTTTGTCAGCCACTTTGATACCATCTTTTGTGAAGTCTCTGTCAATTTGTTTGCTTGCTGTTGTAATTAGGTTGACTGCCTTTTTCTTATTGGTTTGTATTAATTCTCTGTATGTTCTTGATATAAAGTATTTGTCAAATGTATGTATTACGAATCTTTCTTCTTCGCCTGTCTTACTTTCTGAACTCTTTTAATTGTATCTTTTGTTTTAAAAACTTCTTTATTTAAATACGTTCCACCTATCTTTCTTTCTTTATGGTTAGTGCTTGTGTTTGTGTGTGTGTCTGTCCATCCTATTTAAGTCATGAGTCATGAAGTTGTTCTAAGCTTGATTTGAACATTGATAAAATACTGAAGTCGAACAAAGCTGGAGGACTTACACTATCAGATATCAAGATTTACTATGATTCTGTAGTAATTAAGAAAGAGTACTAGTGGCACCACTGTAGATAAATGGACCAGTGTAATATAATGGCATATGTAAACAGAATCACATATATACTTACGCGGTTTATGACAATCCATGAAATGCCTGTTGACTGCCAAGGTAAAATTTGAAACTAGCCTGTCTTCAGTTATAAAAGAGACAGAGGACCCCTGTCTTATGACTGGCTGGTTGCTTTGGAAGCAGTGTCACATAGTTCATGAAATAAAAGATGCCTACATTGGCACTTTAAGATGTATATAACCACATGGTAATTGGCCCTACATGAAAATCAGTTTCTTCTTAGCCTTGCTACAAGAAGTTCTCGAGAGTGATCTGAATAAGTAATATTACACTTGCATAGTATGTCTAAGTTTATTAATCCCTTTATTAAAAGCATGGAAATAGCTAACATTTACTTTTTTTCCCCCAAAGTGGTTATGGTGTTTTATTTACTTTTTTATTGAAGTACAGCTGATTTACAGTGTTGTGTTAATTTCTGCTATACAGCAGTGATTCAGTTATACATATACATACATTCTTTTTTATATTCTTTTCCATTATGGTTTATCATAGGATATTGAATATAGTTCCCTGTGCTATACAGTAGGACCTTGTCATTTATCCATTCTATATATACTAATTTGCATCTGCTAACCCCAAACTCCCACTCTATCCCTCTCCTACCCCTCTCCCCCTTGGCAGCCACAAGTCTGTTCTCTAACTAACGTTTACTTTTACATTATAATGGATGGTGCTAAGATAAGACTGCACATTATCTCTTATTTAACATTATGACAATGCTATTAAGTAGTCATTTATCATTAATCTCACTTTTCAAATAACTAAACGGACACTTAAAATCATAGATCACTTACCCCAGTTCACACAGTTTGTAATATTCAATGTTCTGATGAGACCCAGATATTTGGCTGTATAGTGTGCTCTTGCCTTTACACAATACTCCACACGGAAGATTTGCTCTATGAGGAAGTCATCTCAATGAAAATGCTTACAAGAGATTCAGGAATTTACAGCAGACAAGGGGCATAAACACATAATAATCACAACAAATCTAGAGCCTGTGCAGCTTACAAGTCATGATTGTGGATGCGTTTCTAGTTTGTAATCTAGACTACGTCATCTAAGAACCTCACCAGTGTTAAACTTCCACATTTGGAACAAGCGGCAAAGATTAGTTGCATGATTCACTGGAGCCACAGTCAGGTAGCAAGACAATGAAAGGGAGAGTGACCCCATGGCCCAGAAAAGAAAAGCAGCTTATCAGCTTTCTTTGCATGCAAGAATGGATGCATTCAATAAGTATTTATTGAGATATTAATATGTAACATGCTCTCCCCTAGACACTAAAGAAACCTGAAATAATCAAATATATAAACTGCTCAATCTCGTGAAGTTTGCAGTCTAACACCTGGTATATAGTACATACAATGTATTTATGGCAACTGCACTATAAATGCCAGACACTGAGATTCTGGGAATGAAAAGATAAATAGTCCATTTTCCTAAGGAGCTTCTTGTTTAACAGGAAAACCACCTGCGATATGAGAGCATTCTAATAAAAATTTGTCCAAAGTCTTGTGGAAGCAACGGACTGCCTTGAAACGTCTGGAAATTTTCAATCATATTGTATTAGATACTAAAATACTCTAGATGCCATTTGAGCTAGATGAGGGCAAATAAATAAGACTTTTAAAGCAAAGAAGGACATTGCTGCACAGATGGAAATCATATATGAGTGTAGAAAATCACAGGTAAAATCAGATGTTTTTGATTTATTATTCTGAAAACTTGGGAAATGCTTGTTTGCATGAGTGCATGGCGTTTATATTGAAGTCTCTACATAGGTTCTGGTATCCTTTTCTTTTTTTTTTCCATTGTGACTTATGCCTTTGTTCTTTGGAAGAAAGAAGACACTATTATTTAATAAAAATGTGTTCCTTGGGGGCTTCCCTGGTGGTGCAGTGGTTGAGAGTCCGCCTGCCAATGCAGGGGACACAGGTTCGTGCCCCGGTCCGGGAGGATCCCACGCCGCGGAGCGGGTGGGCCCGTGAGCCATGGCCGCTGAGCCTGCCCTCTGCAACGGGAGAGGCCGCAACAGTGAGAAGCCCGCATACCGCAAAAAAAAAAAAAAAAAAAAAAAGTGTTCCTTGGATCTTTCCTGAGAAAGGTCAATTGAATACCTATCTACAAGGGAATGAAATAAGGCAAAGAGTGTGTAGTCATGAGTTATTTTGTGTTATGTGTTGAGATGGGGGATAGGAAATAAAAAATAACAGAAAGATTGAAGGCTCTTGAGACAGCATTTTCTAGCTTTCCAAAGAGGTGGTAATAAATGCCTGGAAAACAGTTTGTGAGAAAGGATGACTAAATGTCATTCAAAAATTGCTTACCTCTAGCCATAAGAATTTGTTGTTGTTGCTGGAGAGGAATGGTAGTAAGCTGGAAGCATGCCAAATCTCATCTATAAATCTTTTAATATTTTGTGGACAGAGAAATTTATGTCTCAAGTAAAACTCACAAATTACTGAGTAACTTTTTTTTTCTTCCACATGGTAAAAAGAAAAGCTGGAAGAGAATTCTGTTACTTCATCAAACCAGCATGGTTTATAGATTGGAAATGTATGATTTGTCATTTATGCCTTGCTGCACTGCTGTTTAGAAAGAAGAGTGTTGATTCAACACCAAGTCAAGTGTTTATGGAAACTTAATTGCTTTGGTTTTATCTGTTGGTCCTGTCAACTCCTGGCATTGCTCTACCCAACACAATGCTGTCTGCATTTTTATCACTGATGTCTTCATAGAGAGTTGCTATCCAGCTTCAAATATGTTTTTTTTTTCTTTTTCTTTTTTTTTTTTTCAAATATGGTTTTAAAAGAATTTGGGAAGTGTTGGAAAGCACAGAGTAACTTGATTTGCATACGAGTCTGAAGCATGGATGCCAGTTGGCTGCTTCATTCACATCTCTCTTATTTTCATACATTGTTCTTTTTCTGTTTAAGCTTCTTAGCATAGTAAGAAATGATCTGCCATGACTTTTTTTTCTAAAACAGAAAATCAGGACACATTGGTCTAACATATGATAGAATAGAATAGAATTGGAATTATCCCCCAAAATCTTTTGGAGATAGAGGAAGACTAATATGTTTATAAGCACATCATGTTTGTTAAAATATATGAATTAAAAAAACTTTAAAAAATCAATCATTTACTTGAAGGTTGACTACCAAAAATTTCAGAAAACACAAACATAAATACAGAGAAAGAAGAAACCAGTGTCTGTGCGTTAAACGCTGTTTGAAAAAGATATTTGTACAAGAAAAGTTACATACATTATGGCTATAATATCCTTAGGATAAGAGTTAACCTAATAACATCTCCTGTAAGAACTTCCTGCTGAGATGTACA